TATTTTGCAAGATGGTGATCCAATTCATTGCATTCACAGGCCATTCTATCCAACCGCCTCTTCCTAGTCAGAATATGTTCGAGTATCTTGGACTTCCGGTATCGTTTGAAATAGAGGATTCTACGCTGAAGAAAAGGTGAGTTTTAACATTTCGAGAACTGCGCACACACTAACACACTTGCGCACAAAAACAAAAACAGTTGTAGGTTTCGAGAACTGCAGGCTACCGTTCATCCTGACAAATTCACTCAGGCCTCTAAGCACGAAAGGGAGATCTCAGATGAGCATTCAAGAAGGTTGAACGAGTCGTATAAGACATTGTCGGAACCGTTTCTTCGTGCAAAATACTTGCTAAAGATTTTGGGTGAAAAGGAAACAAAAGGTATGCTCTCAAATTAGTACTGAATGGATTGAATTTTTTTGCAAATTATTAAAATATTTAATTATATTACATTATTAGGCAAAGACTTGGATCCCGCTTCGTTAATGGAAATGATGGAATGGAATGAAAAAGTTTCTGAGATGACGAGCGAGGGCGAGCTTTCCGCTGAAAAGGAAATCGTTCAAAAAGAGATTGACGGGATAATGAAGGAGCTGGGAAAACAATTTGCGGATAAGAGTTTAGATGGAGTGCGCACAAATATCACTCGCCTAAGCTATTTGTATTCTTTGAGAACTGCTATTAATAAAAAGCTAGAGGATTTGATGGGTATGTAAATAATAGAATTGATTTTGCTCTCTAGGCCGAATTTTCATTCCGCTGTGATGATTTAGCTAATTACTTACCTAGGTCTCACTACATTGCCTTTATGAACTGCAATTTGCATTCTGAGAATGTTCTAGTCAAGCTCAAAAGAACAATGTAGATTATCGATAGAATAAAAGAGTGTAGCTTTGACAGTGTACGGTTGGCAGCTCAGTGTATTTAATCGGAAATTTACGACTCGTCTGACTAATGTGCAGCACGACCGCAAAGATATAAATGTAACTAGCTGGCATACCCGGCTCCGCCCGGTATAGTT